GGTGCTCGCACAGTGATGTTGGCCTTCTTGTTTTGATGATGTTTAACAAACAATTTACCACTAATGTTGTTTGTCTAGTATTTGTGTATTCCTATGTATTGTAGACAAACAACGTTGTTGGAGGTTGGATGGATTAAGCCTACACGATCATATCAAGAGGAGGATGGCGGATTTGTGGAGTGAAGCTACATACAATTCAAGTTAAAGATCAAGTTCAAGCTTCATCCGCAACGTGTACCAAGTCAAGCTTAATTGAAGATCAAGATTGCTTGGGTAATGTAGTTTAGGATTCATATACACACATACACGCTTTAGTTTTGGTTTTGTATATATACAGTTATATATATACATATATGTTTTTGGTTTAATAATTTTCAAGTTTATATATGAAACAAATGAATAGAATTGGAAAATACTATTTTGTTTCATGTTTATATGCCTATATATGATTTCACCTTTAACAAGCTTATATTTAATGAAATCATATTTAGTGTTTTTGAATATATTGCATAGAATATGCAATTTTATGAAAATATTGTATTTCTAGGTTATAGACTTCATAACAACATATTATATCTTTTATCAAGTCTATACAATCATTTCATAAGGTTTCAAAATGTTGTTTAAGTCAAAATATCAAAATATCAATTTTCAGGTTTTCATGTTTTTGACTATTTTGTAAAATGATGATATTTTTCATTTGGGAAGTCCTTTTTCGAAACCAGTCGTTGTAGCATGTTTATTATCATGTCTACAATCATTCCCCAAAGTTTTACATTTTTTGGAATTTATTTGATATTTTTAAACAGCATTTCAAAATCAGATAAACAGTTTTCATATCAGTTTTCGGTCGACCGCACCGGTCGACCGAACCTGAGGTCAAAAGTTCCAATTATGGGATGTCGTACTCCTTCATCCATCTCACGATGTTTTCATGAAATACCAACAACTTGCACTGCAGAGCAATGAGATCCGCACATCATTAGGAACCAAAGAAGATTGTGAACCAGAAGCCATCAGAAAAGATAGAAGGTATGATCGGAGTGCTGATGATCTGAGATACAAAAAGTTCAAAAAGTAAAGGAGCAGGAGAGGGGACGATGATAATTATAGTTGCTAACTGACTCCAATGGTTGACAGTGGGCCAGGTTTGAACAGATGAGCTCGGATCCCTAGGATCCGCTATCAACCCTCATTAATCAAAGAGTCCAAGGGTTATCTCTATTGATGGCATCACAACATTCATAGTTTCCTTCTATGGGCCAGTCCGGATACCTAGAGTAGCAAAGACGAAACTGTTTTATTTTCCTCAGACATGGTTTCCTCGAGTCCGAGTGAAATGGGTCAATGCTATACCCTAAAAATCATAAGTTTGATAAGCCCTTTAAAGCTAGTCGCATGTTAGCTGAATCAAATCATGTGACCAGAAGTTCTGACCCATAATAGATACAGCTCGACCAAACAAGTTAACCTTAACTAACGGTGTCGGTTTGGGTCTAAATTCGAGTGGAAAGGCATCTTTAGTTCGGGATCCGCTATAGAAGATCCCAAGCCTAATTTAAAAGGTATCTTTAGGTTAGACCCAACAAAAAAAATCTAGTCACAAGACAAGGACAGGGACAACCATTGGTCTTGAGAACACTGCTCACATTAAATGCATGACTAGTCATTATGATGATTTCTCGAGTAACGCCCATACCCCACCATCCAGTCGCCATTGCATTAAATGCACATTATAATGCCTCCTAGAACACTGCCTACTCTCTCGTCCTATTACTTTTACATTAAATACGATGAGAATAGCTCTCGAAGATTCGCTCAACCAATAGACAACACATGTAAAGTAGAAGTAAAAATTTCAACTCTGCCGATCGATCCGGATTACCAATCCCCCCCCCACTCCTCTATAAATATAATGCTACCTCTATCATTATGAGGTCTAATTGATCTAAACCCTAAACCATATTATGAACTTCTTTTAATATCGACTTTGTTAGTCATTGAGTTAAGTGTCGGAGGGTTCATCGGGGGAAATCTCGTCCAGAGTCTCTAACATCTGCTATTTGTGTAGGGATCTACTTCTTACATTTCTTCAGCCATTAGATAAGATCAAGGACCCATAATGTTCTCTTAATATCGCCTTACTTACAAATTACCTTTCAGACATAAACAGTAACATAACGTGCGCTCAACTTTGAATTATAATTGATGCTAATAGAGCCTCCTAGAAAACAAAGCATTCAAAGGTGCATCGAAGAATAGGTTTTGTTGGGATTGTGTCTTTGATTCTTTGTATAACTTCATGAGAATTAGATAGGGTTAGAGATATATCATGATTAGGAGATTGGGTCTCATCATGATTAGGAGCTTATATCTTATTCTAATTAGGAAGTTTAGCTAGGGGTAGGGTTTTGGTTTCCATATATATATATATATATATATATATATATATATATATATCATTTTATTGTTGGAGGAAAAACCAAGGTGAAGGAGGGAGAGAGACAATATTCTTATAATCAGGGTTTACAGAGGGTGTAACCATGTTCAAGGGTATTGTGTGAGAGAGAGGGTTTGACGGTCTTTGTCTGTGCAAAATATTATAATTTAGATATGATAGTGGATTATTTTCGATCCCGTGGTTTTTCTTTGTTGAGGGGTTTTCACGTTAAATCTTGTGTGATGCTATGTACTACGTTTGGTGCTTTTCAGAGTTTTTTGCGAGATCTAATAATTACAATGGGTTCGATATTGATATATTGGGTTAGTAGGGCTCACCGAATAGAGATGGACATCTCTGGGCTCCTCGATTTCAATCAAACTGAATTTAAAAATATTAACCTTAATTGAGCCATGCATCCACCTATCTATTTTCTAGTGTGAAACTAAATTTCATCTCATATTTTTGCTAGATTAAACATGCGTATGAACATTATCGATGCGAGGCACTCCTAATACATTGAGAAATGAATTTTCCACTATAGGGAGTTAAAAAAAACCACTGAAGATAGAAAAGAAAAAAAAAAACATTGAGAAAGGAGAGTATAGTCATAACATATTCCACCATCAAGAGCTAAAAAACATTGAAAAAGAAGTACGCAAGACTCCATAACCATCTATCAATTTCTCAAAGTACATATGCATATATATATATATATATATAGATATATATATATATATATATCATTTTATTGTTGGAGGAAAAACCAAGGTGAAGGAGGGAGAGAGACAATATTCTTATAATCAGGGTTTACAGAGGGTGTAACCATGTTCAAGGGTATTGTGTGAGAGAGAGGGTTTGACGGTCTTTGTCTGTGCAAAATATTATAATTTAGATATGATAGTGGATTATTTTCGATCCCGTGGTTTTTCTTTGTTGAGGGGTTTTCACGTTAAATCTTGTGTGATGCTATGTACTACGTTTGGTGCTTTTCAGAGTTTTTTGCGAGATCTAATAATTACAATGGGTTCGATATTGATATATTGGGTTAGTAGGGCTCACCGAATAGAGATGGACATCTCTGGGCTCCTCGATTTCAATCAAACTGAATTTAAAAATATTAACCTTAATTGAGCCATGCATCCACCTATCTATTTTCTAGTGTGAAACTAAATTTCATCTCATATTTTTGCTAGATTAAACATGCGTATGAACATTATCGATGCGAGGCACTCCTAATACATTGAGAAATGAATTTTCCACTATAGGGAGTTAAAAAAAACCACTGAAGATAGAAAAGAAAAAAAAAAACATTGAGAAAGGAGAGTATAGTCATAACATATTCCACCATCAAGAGCTAAAAAACATTGAAAAAGAAGTACGCAAGACTCCATAACCATCTATCAATTTCTCAAAGTACATATGCATATTATACATAAACAAGAATGCTTTCTCAGAATGTTATACAACTTTTCCAATCACTAGGAGATTAGTAGATATACTCAAATGATATTTAGTAGCTTTTTTTCCTCGTAAAAAAGTATGACACTTAATGAGATCTCCAAGGTTAGTACAAGACATCAAATTAGATATCTTTTTCAGATAGAGGTTGAGGAGCTATTCTTGCATGGGTAGAACCATGTTCCAGGTTTTTATGGCTATAGCAATTTCGAGCACTAAGAAAGCTGTATATTGCATTCTGCCCCCTCCTAAATGATCTGAATCTCCTTCCTTTTGCTTTTCTCGCACCTTTCTTTATTGATCCCTACATTGAATTTGAAAGATAATTTGTCTAACAAGTCAATAAAAATCTGGATCAGTTAAGGACTTCTTTAAAAATTATAGAGATATGGAAAGTTAAAATATGCAGGCATGACTCAAAGAAACTATACTTATACCTCATTCGAACTGGAGGACGCACAACCCTCGTCTCTTTTACCGATGGCTATTGGTTCCTACATTGAAATTTGAAAAATAAGTTATTTATCATCCCCCCAACAAAAAAGAAAAAGAAAAAAAAAGAAACCTAGCCCATCCAAAATAAAAAAAAGGTTTTGAAGCTCTTACTGACCCCCAATAAGTTTGGGTGTTCTAGAAAACCCCATAAAGTGTAAGTCCATATTTTATGTTCTGAAGTAGACAGTATCATATGCACTGGTAAATTAGTTATTGAGGGTTAAGTAAAAAAAAGAACGTTTTGATATTTTTCTCATCTCAAACTTAATAGCGGTTGGGTAAGGGTTTCAAGCTTTTGGGAGCAAAGCGTCGGAGGCCCAAATTTATACTTAAAAGAATAAATGAAAATGTCATCATATGCTATCATTGTTTACAACATTTGTGTTGGGGAGTACTTCAAAATCATTGATCATAAGGAAAGGGAAAATATGCAATATAGCACAAAGGAAAACTTTATTTATACCTCGTTTGAATGGGAGGCTGATGAGCTATTTTCTCCATCATATTTCTTTGTTGATTCCTGCATTAAATTTGAAAAAAGAAAGGTGTGAAATAAGGATGAATATAAGAAATGGAAAATGGAAAAAAATCAAATCAAAATCTCATCATATTTTGCTATTGATGTGTAGTTGTAATCTTCTTTAAAAAATGTATAGTTGAGATCTTCATCAAAATTGTACAAATATAGTGCAAAAAACCGATTTATGTTTATACCTCTTTCGTATTTGAATGTGAAGATGTAATGCTCTCTTCTCTTTTGCAAGATCGTTGTTGTACATTTGACTTCTCGATTACCTCTGCATGTATACAGAATATAACAACATTAAAATTTTAGAGATATTTTGCTTACAACTCACTGTAAAGAGATTGTATATACTTTACTTCCCCCTCACCCCCTTTTTTTTAACATTATTCGATGGTGTTGTATGGATGTTTACCATTCACAGAACAATCATTTTTAGATTTAGAGGATTATGCTTGCTTTGTTTAATATATCATTAAAGATGAGACTATTTTGGAGATAATATGTTTTCTGGAATTTATTCTATATCTATCTATCTATTTATACTACATATTTAGGGGGGGAAACCACTCTTTTGGGCATTGTGCACCATATTTTTAGAATTTCCAAAACATCCTCACATCTAAAAAAAATTAATTGTAAAAGTCTATACACCTAAAAATCAAGAAAATAGCCCTTACATTGCTAAAATGAAAAGGAATGCTCTCACACTTGGGGGGAAAAACTAAGGAAAGGCCCATAAACTTGAAAAACACCAAAAGAAAAAAAAAATTCAACAAATTAAGAGGAATGTCCTCACACTTTTAGGGGTTCATTCTGGAAAAAGTTGACAGTTGAAGGCGGATATTATATCTACATAACCCCTAAATTTTAGGGGGGGGGGGGGGGGGGGGGGCTTTTTCTTATATTTTGAATGTTAATGAGGTTATCTTGATGAGGGGGTGTTCTGATATTTATTCTATATCTACCCATCTATCTATCAATGCTTACTAGATGGGGGTGGCGGGGCACGCGGGGAATCAAAGAAATGCTCTTAAACTTGGATAACTCCAAAAAAAAATTCAACAAAAATACTCAAATCACACATTCCGATTCCTTGATAAGTATCGCCTCATATTTTTTTTGTAATGTATACATAGTGTGCAGTGGAATACTAGTTAAATATTATTATAAGCTCATAATGTAGAGATACTTATCAAATAATGCCTTGTAGATTATGTTACGGATTACATTGTATAGAGAAGGGCACATCTTTTCTCTTACTATAGCCAATTTATTGCTTGCGATTCGCTAAAGCTTTCGAGGAGTAATCCTCCAAAACCAGTTATAAAACTCGCATCACCATTCTATGATGAATGTATTCAATTTGATATAACCGAAACAAAATAGTAAAACATATCGAATAATAATTTCCTATTAAATGATAAATGCTGAATCCGTATATCCTAACGTCAATTTTCTTGCACCAAAAAAAAAAAAAAAAAAAAAACACATCTTACCTTCTTTACGATCATCATGAGCAAAAGACTCGATAGCCGATGCCTGTTGGAAATAAAAGCGAAAGCTTGGCGACCCAGGCAGCTCTTCTGCCTCAGGCTTCACGCGTAACTTCCTCCCGATTTCCTCTTCCTCTTCAGCTTTCTTCATCACGTCTGTCATAGCAGAAGTTGAAATCGACAGCCTCGGAGGTGGAGAGTCATCGTTGGAGAACGCGACGTTGGATCTCTCCTCAAGGGAGACTAGATCCATTGTTGACGCCGCACTAGCGGTTTAAAATTGTGTATATAAGTTCTCTTCGACTCTTTTCCAATTTCAAGATGAATGGATGGATGAATTGTCGAACGGATGATACGAGAGTATCGTGAAGATATGTGAGTTATGGTTAAATTTAGAACACTGGATTTGGAGGGAGGATAATTAGCAAGGTGGGGTTGAGAGGGATTTTCTCACGCATCTTAACTATTTTTTGGATGAATTTAGTTAGAAGGAAGAATAATGTTGGTTTTCTTTTAGACTTGTTCAAACCTTGTAAGGTTATTTATAGGGAATATGCCGTACCCCTCAGTTTATGAATTTTAGTAACGCACATTTTTTGTTTAGGATGATGTATGTTATGATTTAGATATTTTTTCGCTTCAAGGAAATACCATCTGCTTAATAATTGCCTCATCATTTTTCCTAAAAGAGAAATAACAATCTTAAAATAAAAACCTATACGAAGCTTTCAGCCTTCCAAGGGACATTAAGTTTTGTTTCCCTCAACGATATGCTTTGGGCAATGAGTTCTTTTTTTTTTTTTTATATATTTTGTGAATACTTCTCGCATCACGTGTGCTCATGAGAAAATGATGGTATATATACGACTAGCTAGTTGCAAAGTTGAGGGAATATATAATGACATTTGAGATTTGTCAACAATTTGGTCGCGATAAATATTTCAACATGCATTCGGAATCAATAAAGCCCCCCTGCTCCGTACAAATTAAAGTTGGGTGAATTAGAATAGCAAACGATGCTGGTCAACTTCGTTGCAGGAGCAAGAAATTAATTTGCTTGAGGGGTGCAAGTGCAAGAGCACCATGAAATTATTTTGTGAATACTTCTCTCCATATCTCTTCCTTTTTAAACACTTTCGTTAATCATCCGAATAATTTTAAAGTTCACAAGCTACATTATTCCAACTCATTTATTTAGGCTCTTTTGCGCGGAAAAATGACTAGGAAGCGGATAAATAAATACACATCGCATGAGAGTGAGGATATCAAGAAAGACGATTGAGATGTCAGAAGCCTCCAGCGAAATAAAGTTGCGTAACTCTCGAAGGGCGTATTTGCTAAATTTTCTCGCGATCCAATCATCCGACGGACTCCTGCGCATCAATAGACGAAAGTATGAGGTGGAAACTGTAAAAGAGCTGTCTGCGGGACGACGATAGAAACCTGAAAAGACAGCCGAAAAAAAAACAGAAAAAAAATAAAAAAATTCTCCAGGCGGCGTTCCATCGCAAATCCAGCTGGCGATCTTTATTCTCTCTCCATATCTCTTCCTTTTTCAGTTCAAAAAAATAAAAAAAAAGTCTAGGGTTTTTTGAGATCTCCAATCGATCCAAAAACATCTTTAACCTTCATCTCCTTTCCTCTCTCTGATATCGTTCTGATTTTAGTTCCAGAGCTCGAAGATGTTGGGAATCGTTAGGAGAAAGCTCGGATGTGGAGGTTTCCCATCATCGGTAAAAAAAAAAAGTTTGAATCATTTAGTTATTTCTTTCGATTTCTAGATTTAGAACTGATTTGGTTTTGTAATTTATTTATTTATTTATATTCGCAGATAATAGGGCAGGGTTTGGAGAGGATTCGCCCTGCTACATCATCTTTTTTACCTAAATATTACTCTACCGCTGCAAAAGAGGTATCCATTTGCTCTTTTAATTTGAGGTTGGAGTTGTTAATTAGTTAGGGAGGCATAGAAAATAATTTAAAAATGGATAAATATGCTCATGTTTAAAGTAAAATATGAGAAAAGCTTTATAATTAGGGTTTTGAAAATGGAAGATGGAAACGAATAATTTGGATAAGATTAGCATAGTTAGAACAAGAAGAGGTTATTGTTCATAGTAGTAGACATTAGACAATAATGCTTTTGTGTGATCCTTTTCTTTTTGTTTTTTTTAGTTTTTAGATCTTTGCATCATTATGATATGGTGGTGTTAAGGATTATCTCTTTTATAAAAGTAAATCTGGATGGCTAAGCTGGACGGGGGTGCTTTAGGATCACAATTTGATCGTAGGATATACACGGAGTTGTAGAGAAATTTTGAGGATGGTTTGATGACAACTTGAGCTCTATGGTTAATAACGTTGGACAGCTAAGGAATGATATGCCATGAAATCATATAGCTCTAAGTAGAAAGTTAGATAATGAAGGTAAGGTGCTATAGATGGAAACAAGCACATCACAGGATAACATCAGTGCGATTTGTGAGGATTTGGGCATATGAATAGAGACTGATTTAGCGGTGAGAGTAGGAGTAGATTCAAAAGAGTGGATTCGTTTAGCTGCCCCAGCCACTGATTGAATATCATGAGCAAATTAACTTCAAAACTTCATGCAAGATTTTGTAGGAATTTATTAGGTTTTCAGCTTTTGGATATTTGGCATTTTTGACTCATAAGTTAAAGATCGGAATGACTACTTCTTAACCCTCAGAAATCTCCTTGGTAGCTAGTTGAACTTTAATCTTGGGGAAAGCAGTGATATGAACTTCAGGGTAACCCTTGTAGCTATTGAATATTGTGTCTTTAGGGCGAAATGGTAAGCCTGCTTAGTTATGTTGATGTAATTTATATAAAGGTGGCAGGCTAAGATTGTGCAGATGCTCTTGGGACTTGGAAGGGGTTTGACAAGTTCTTTTCATTTATTTGGCCTTGCTTGCTTTGAGCTCGGCCTGCCAATCCTCATTGCCGACCCTCTACCTTTGCTCTATTACCTATTACTTATTAGTTGTTTGACAAGGTTGCTGATTCTTTGGTTATTTTGGTTCTGAAAATTTGACAAGGTTTTGTTCATTAGTTGATTATTTCTTTATCTTGTTTCCGAAATATTGAGTTCTTTTCTGTGTATATTGCTTGTCCTTATTTTGTTAGTGTTCCTGTCACCTGTGTCTTTATGGATGTACCAGGGAGCTTGTTTAGCGTCCTTCGTAATGTTTTCTACATGTCGTCTCAAATTTATATGTTAGCTAATTTGTGAAAGTGCTTAATCAGATGACTGTACGTGACGCTTTGAACTCTGCACTTGATGAGGAGATGTCTGCTGACCCAAAAGTCTTCTTAATGGGTGAAGAGGTAACTAAATCGAAGGGATAAATATCAAATCTTCTTTTGTTCTTCCGTTTTCTGTTCTGATGGACTAAGCGTTAATGCAGGTCGGAGAGTACCAAGGTGCATACAAGGTTAGCTTCATGTAGTTATTCACCTGTTCCAAGTCTTTTTGATGATAATATAGCTTTTGGTTATTAAAGTTTATTTATTTATATATTTATGTAGATCTCCAAGGGTCTGCTTGAGAAGTATGGTCCCGATAGAGTTGTTGACACTCCAATCACTGAGGTCGCTTACTGTCTTGGCACAATTTGTTTAAATCTGTTTTGGAAACATCTATTAATATCAGTATTTGCAACTCTCTGTTTCTATTTTGTGTTGCTATGATATTCAGGGATATGTTTTCTCTGATCTTGCAGGCTGGATTTACTGGAATTGGAGTTGGAGCAGCTTATTATGGCCTTCGGCCTGTTATTGAGTTCATGACTTTTAACTTCTCTATGCAGGTCAGGTTACACTTTTCAATGTGCATGAAAAGTTGCTATATAAGTGATGATTCTTTAGTGGAATCGTGTAATTCTTTTTTCCATTATCTTTGAAGGGTTGATTATGTTCTATTTGGTATGATTTTTACCAAATATTGATGTGCGGAAATCACTATGATATGAGAATGGATAAGAAATAATTATTGGAACTTATGAATGTAATATTTAATCTGCTTGTGGCTTTGTCGGTTCGGTGATTTGTTTATTTGTCTTATATATCTCAAAAATGTCTTTTTTGCTACTTTTAGTTGCATAAAGTTTACAGAGTTCATCATCATTTGTCTTCAACATTCTGGGATTTACAAAGTTCATTGCCTGAGGCTTATTTTGTGTCATAAACATGCAAATAAAGTATATGATTATTGACCATATCCATGTGGACAGCTTACTCTAGTTAGATATTTAGATCACACCCTTTATGTACGTTTTGACATTATTAAATTGTATTTTCCAATGGTTGATTTAATTATCCAATTTATTTCAGGCAATTGATCATATTATCAACTCCGCAGCAAAGTCAAACTATATGTCAGGAGGTCAACTATCTGTTCCTATTGTTTTTAGAGGACCCAATGGTGCTGCTGCTGGTGTTGGGGCTCAACATTCACAGGTATGTGATGTTTCCTGGAAATGGCATTATCTAAATTGGATCATAGTTCAGGGACAAATATTTCTTGAGTGAAGCATGGTTCGACCTTTTCTGTATGCAATCATTCATTTTTCTATGGTAGTTTTGCTGAAAATCCTGAAGGTCAGCCTTCTTACCCGTAATATGCGTTCTTGATGTTAAACGTCGAAGGTTTAGTCTTATATGCTTTGAGATTTATACATGATCAATATATTTGGCCCTATTTTTAACCAGTGTACAAAGAGCCCAAGATGAAGTACTTATTCTGAAATAATATTGCAGTGTTATGCAGCTTGGTATGCATCTTGTCCTGGATTGAAAGTACTAAGTCCTTACTCAGCAGAAGATGCTCGGGGCTTGCTCAAAGCTGCTATCCGGGACCCTGACCCTGTTGTTTTCCTCGAAAATGAAATTCTGTATGTTGTTTCCAGTCATGTCGAAATTATGTGAAAAATAAAGAATGTTTTGAGGCACACTGAACTTACACAATGGACAAAAATTTTCAGATATGGTGAATCTTTTCCTGTGTCAGCAGAAGTTCTTGATTCCAGTTTCTGTCTTCCTATAGGAAAAGCCAAGGTATGCTTTTGCACTGTTCATTTAACCTGTTATTCTTTAATTCTTACATCTTATACTCCAACTTGTCAAAAAAAAAAAAACAGATTGAGCGGGAAGGGAAGGATGTGACTATTACTGCATTCTCGAAGATGGTCGGTTATGCTCTCCAGGTACGTGATTCAATCTATTCCATGCAATGTTTTCAAGCGTACAACTTCTTGCCTTTTGTTGGTAGTCATGCAAGTCCCAACGAGCTTAGAGTAGTTTCTGTTGGTTCGCTAAGGTGGTCTTTAAGACACTTGAAATATGATAAATAATCCGATGGGAAACAGTTCACCATTCCTATGGATTTGCACATCTGTTTTGTTATAATCTTATTGTTGTTAACTTCAATATTTTTGGATTTTGTTATGGAACTAAATTCCACCCCTAAGCTTTCTAAGTGAAAAATTCACTTATGAATTGATTTCTTCTGGATTTCCCTGAAAGTCCTGAGCAATTTCCTTGTTTCACATTGTTTGATCTTCCTTCACTCTATCTCAATCTCTCTCTCTCTCTCTCTCTCTCTCTCTCTCTCTCTCTCTCTCTCTTATGCAAACCAGTTGAGCTGTAAACATGCTTCATGCAAGCAGTTCTGCAATAAGAATACCTCTTTAATCTAGAGTCATCGATCTTCCAAATTTCAATTAAGGACGTCCTCATTTGATTATTGAACTTTGAGCTACTTTTTCTTTTTCTTTTTCTCTTTTATCTCTTTTTTTTCTTCCACAAATCAAATTCCACTCCAAGATGTTGAGCCAACCGATGAACTTAGTTAGTGGGGTTCCTTTAAGTTCGCATGTATCAAGCATGTTACTGGATTACATTTCTATGTTGATGTTTAGGTGGTGTTTGATCGTCCCTCTGAGAACTTATGGAGTGGGATCCTCTTATCTTGTGTATGCTAACCTCTGAAAACATGGCTAGAATCACATTGCTCTGAAGCCAGAAGTACCCTAGACCTAACTCAAGTTGTTTAGCCGTCTTCACATCAAGACCTTTCTACGGAGCTTTCATATTCAAGGTAAAGCCTCATGTCCGCCAAGTAGAGACCGATGACAACCAACCATTACAACTAAAGATTTGATTTCAAACTGCTACCAGAATAATATAGAGCAAAGGAGTATGAGTGACTTGAGAACTTCAAAGGGAGTTTGCTTACAAGTTGGGGGTATACGGTTGAAACTTTGATGACCTTGTGAGAATTGACCAAGATGAATTAAAAAAAACAGAAATAGAGAATTTCTCCCTAAAGTTCAAAGATGAAATTTTGTTGCGGAATTAGAAATTCTTTACACAATAGATGGTCATATTAGTAAATAACGTCAGTTGGAGTAACAAAGTAGCCTGAGTTTCTAGGTTGTGCTAGGAAGTTGACCAGGGAAATTCATAATTAATCAAAATTTCTAGAGGCTCGACGTGCTGCCAGTAGTTCCACCAACAGGACACACGAGCTAAAATGCAAGATGTTTTGTCAAACAGACAGTGGACATTAAGTCCTACAGCACAAGAAAGTCAACATTATTTATGATGTGAATGATTTATACAGCTTAACTGAACCACGTCTTATGAAGTCCTGTGTCATTTTGTATGAAAAAGCTTGCTTTTCATTTTTTTTTAATTTCAAGATTTCATGTTACGTCATCTAAATTTATTCCCTTTTACTTCCAAGTATACCAGCCACTTGTTCTAGTTGTTTTTATGTATTTAATTCATTTTGTGAATTATGTTCAGGCTGCGGATATACTTTCGAAGCAAGGAATTAGCGCTGAGGTAAATGTTAACTCTTAAAGAAAACATCTTTCTCTGCCGTTGATTGTTCTCTCAAAACTTTCCACTTGAAAACTTGAAGGTTATAAATCTTCGCTCCATAAGACCACTGGACAGAGCTGCTATCAACACTTCTGTTAGGAAAACCAACAGATTGGTTACAGTTGAAGAAGGCTTTCCACAGCATGGTGTGGATGCTGAAATCTGGTCAGTTTCTCTCGGGAATATAAATCACAAATTTCTGTATCTTTTTCTTCCCTTCATTTTCTTTTTTTTCTTTTTTTGAAATTGCATCTGATAATTTGTTTTTATTTGATAAACAGTGCATCTGTGGTTGAAGAAAGTTTCGACTACCTTGATGCTCCTGTTGAGAGGATAGCTGGTGCTGATGTTCCCATGCCTTACGCTGCAAACCTTGAGAGGTTAGCTGTTCCCCAGGTGAGTCATGCCTCTGCTCTATCCTTCAGACTAACTTTAAAACACAAAATAATTTGCCCGATAAAACATAAAGCTATTTTCCATAGGAAATTTTTAACATGATGAAAAAAATATTAGTCACAGTTTTTAGAAGAAATGTATGTTGTACATAGTAGAAAGTAATGGTCAAGAAGTAGCTTGGAGTGACCATTTGGTTTGGCTAGTATCCAGAATCATTCAAGATTACGATATTGTGTGAAGTTTGGTTCACAGAAGAAAAGCAGGGGCGGTGAAACTGGAAAATTACACACCAAAAACCAAAAGAGCTCCCTAAGCACAACGCATGCAGACAGTTCGCAGTTACCACACATTCGCAAGAGAAATAAAAAATTAGCCCACAAATGAGAACACTGGATGCGAAGTGGATGAAGTGGCAATAAGGGCAAGAAATGCACATATAAGAGAGAATTGCTTCAGATGATTTGGATGTGCATTAAATGGTAATGAGTGTGTGTACTAGCAGTGATAGGATTTTTGATAGGATGTGCGTACTAGCAGCGATAGGATTTTTGGTAGGATATAGAAGAATATGAATTGACAAATTCAGCACCAAAGATGGCTGGTAGGATTTTAGGTAGGTTTAACAATAACAAAGGATATGAAGTGACAAATTCAACACCAAAGAGGGCTATTAACAAAGCTGAAGAGAAAATTATTTATTTATTTAATGCGGTTATCTTTATGACCATATAATGAATTAAAGAAACATTATCGAATAAAAATTCTTTGCGTTTAACCCAGTTAAGAAAGATAATGCTTACTGGAATGATTTGAAATGATTTGATTGATTTGAAATGACTCGAATGACTCGTGCAGGTCGATGATATCGTTAGGGCGGCGAAAAGGGCCTGCTACAGATCAGTGCCAATGGCAGCAGCAGCTTAAGAGCACCTCTTTCATTCTCAGTACTTGTATACCATTCTTTCTACATGTTGTGCCCGGAAAACTACTATTCGAAAGCTCGGTTTTGATTGTTTGTTACAGGAAGCTGATTTTGACCCACTGTCAGCTTTGGATTTGTAATATCTTCTTTAATAATTGTGTGCCTGATTTTATCTATATCCTTACTACGGTTCCTATGAACATCGGTCAAAAGCGTAACTTCTATGACGTAGAAAAGTTTTGCTGAGTTTTGTTGGGCTGTTATTCAACTGTTCCCTTGCTTGAATTATGGGGGAATAGCGGATGATGTGGTTGCAAAATGTTTTGTAATGGGGAACTTACCTGTCCATAATCTGATACAAGAATAATTGCTGGTTTTTACTTTGAATTAGGTGCATCTCTTGGACCGTTAGTACGCAGGAATAGAATGCTAAGCATGCGAAACATTACTTTTTGGAAGCTAGAATGTTGTTCTTTCATTCTCATTTTTTGCGGGAAGGATCATTCCACCAATAGGTTAAAATGCTCTATAGTTTGACCAACCTTGTAAATAAGTGATCCCTATTTTAAGAGCGTTTGGTAATCAAAGTGTTTCTTTTTGTTGTGTTTTTTTTAAAAACACCATACCAAAGTGTTTATTTTTCAAACGGTGTTTTCAAAACTGGAAAATTTTGTCAAACTCAATTATTATGTATCCTTGCTCAATTACATGCAAGACACAGTCCAATAATCATAGAGCAGATTCATAGTTCAAATAATTTCTTGAATATGCAACATAAGTTAGAATTATTTGTTACCAAAATAATATCTTCTACATTGACCAAACTACTAACGATTTTCATGAAGCAGCTAAAATTAACCACTCATACCTTTGCAACAATCATCAAAATGATATCTTGATGCTATTGAGGCAGCTTCCCAAGACCCACCAACAGCTCACAGTAAACCCTCCATATCTCCGAGAACGGCAGCCCGATCTCCGGCCGGTGCTTGACTCGCTTGTTCACATGACTCAAAATCTCGAGAACCTAGCAACGGAAAGTAGGAAGGAGTTAGGGTTAGGGTTTTGGAGAAACCCTAGAATTTGGGGGATTTTACCAATTTGCTGACGGATTGGGAGGGAGAGGAGAGTGAGGAGATGGAGTAAGGGAGGATCTTGAGGAGGGGGGAGGAGAGGTTGGAGTCGTCGGCGACTGGCGTCGAGAACGGGGGAACTCCGCCTCGAGCTCGGAGTCTCTGCTTCTCTCCCGTCGGAGGCTGGGCGACAGGTCTGCGGCGGCGATCGCCGGGTAGGAGGTTGGGCGACGAGTCGGGGCGGCGACGAGGAGGGGCGGCGGTTGGGCGACGGGTCGGGGCGGCGACGAGGAGTGGCTGCGATGGTGTCGGGGCGGAGATGGGTTTGGGGAGAAAAAACCACGGAAATCTCAAAACACCAATATGGTGTTTTGAGATTTCCGTTGGACTTTTTATTTTTGTATACGGTCAGCTTAAAAAAATGCTTCACTTCCCAAACGCATTTGGTTGATTTTTTTTTTTAAAAAGACACGGAAACAAAAAAACACTCCACTTACCAAACGCTCCAGTGTTCCAGTGTTTCCTCTGTTGAAAAACACAATAGTCGTCAAAACTTTTTGAAAAGACCAAAGTCTCCCTTCCCTAGCTAAAAGAAGAAAATAGTTAATATAGGAGAGTGGTGGTTGAATTGTAAAGAAGGGTATGAAACTAGGGGCGGAGATGGGATTTTTGTTTATCCTGGCAGAAAATTATCAAACATAAGTTTTCAAAATTAAATATATAAGTTCATATAAAATATACTGTTTCATGAAAAGTTGGATATAAACCAAAAGTTTCACGTTCAAATGATCCCCTTGTAATATTTCTCCAAAAAAGATCTAACCCTCCAAGTGATATTGACTTCACTTATTTCTTCAAATTGTTGAATACTTGCACCAATTATTATCTAAACATTCTTCTTTTTTTTTCTTTCTTTTTTTTTCTTTTTTTTTTTTTGGGAGTGCTCTAGGAGCACTTTTTTTTTAGCTGAAAAAGCAGGGTTAAAGGCCCTGCTCATAAAAACTATTATTAATAGGAAACAGAGATACAAAACAGATACAACAGAGCGTCACTAACTAGATGTAGAGCCGGTGAGAATGCAGTAGGTAAGGAGCGGACATATGTCGTCACCTACCAAACTGTACCCCCATCGATTCTACTTAGGTAGTTGGTGCATAAAACATAATTACAAAAGAGGATAAACAACAACCTACTAGAACATCAAGCATAACCAGTTTTCCAAAGTAATGGAAACCGAAACAGATTTCAAAATATTAGCAACCTGTTTGATATGAGAAGTAGCTATAGATATCCAAAATTAAGGGGAGGTGTCCTTAACCAGCAGCAGCTATGGAGATTCCTGATTTGGGTAGCTGGGTGAGAGGTTGTCCCCATCTGCCTTGACAATCTTGTTAGCAAGCTCCTGGAGTCCGATGTTTGATGCAGCCCTACGCAGTCTCCTTGTGAGCCTCTCATCTGCAGCACCTGTCCAAAATATGGTATATCTCCCAATATTAGAAGCAATGTGGAGAGGGTTAGATTGATTATCTTTGAAAATAAGATCATTTCTACTGAACCAAATCCACCAGCAAAAACAGGGTAGCAGAATTTTCCAAATTGTTTTCATGTCCGAACATAGATATGGAGATTTGTGAAACATTATCAGCTCCTCTATGGTTTCTGGCCAGCAGATTGTAGGAACAGAGGGAAGGATGATGGACCAGATAGCACGAGCAAAGGAGCATTTAAGGAAGATGTGTTCGTGAGTTTCTACTTCTGATTTGCAAAAAACACATCTCGGATCTCCTGCCCAACCCTTGTGAAGCAGATTTGCTTTCGTATTCAGTTTCTTATTGGAGATGATCCAGAATAGCACTTTCACCTTGGATGGAATAGGAGATTTCCAAATCAATTTTGAAAATTTGGATTTAATGCCCCCTGAGTTGACGAATGAGTAAAAGGACTTAACTGAGAAAGTCCCCGATGGTAGGAGCATCCACCAGAGTTCATCTGGTTCCGAAGTGATACTGATATTGTAAGATGTTAGAAGGGAGAGGAGTTGGTTAAGTTCTGACCTTTCTGAGTGTGAAATGCCTCTTCTAGTGAGAGGGTGCCATGACCATACATTATTAATCATTCTTCCTTGAGATCTGATACAGCAGCTCTGAGAGAGAGCTAAGTTGAAAGCTTTTGGAAATAAGCTACTTAGGGAATTTACCGAGGTCCATTTGTCATGCCAGAAATTTCCAGTTCTTCCATCACCAATGTTCCATTTAACCAAGTTGAAGAAGGTTGTATGAATAGAGAATAGGTCTTTGAAGAAACTTGAAGTCGTGCTCTTAATGGGATGAGCAAAAGGGTTGACCCCATCCTTGGAGTAGACAGAGAGAAAAATATTGCTGATGAGAGATTTTCTATCGAAAATTTTCCATAGCCATTTCGATAGGAGAGCTGTGTTGAAATTTGCAATGTCTAGAACCCCAAGACCTCCTTCATCTTTGGATTTACAGACTTTACCCCAGTTTATGATGCATTTGATTTTTGAGGGAATGTGGCTTCCATTCCAAAGAAAGTTTCTTCTTATTCTGTCTATCGCCTTGATTAACCACTGAGGCAACTTAAAAAAAGACATGTAATATAAGGGGAGAGTAGATAATACAGAGTTTAGGAGAGTTAACCTTCCCCCTATGGAGAGAGATTTGTTTTTCCATAATGAAAGCTTCTTGGTGAATGATTCTAGGAGAGGTTGCCACTCTCTTTTGGATAGAGGGCCTCTTTTGAGAGGGAGTCCCAAGTATGAGAATGGGAGAGAACCGACTGAACAACTGAGGATCTTTGCAAGCATTTTCCCTTTGTGAGGAATTTTGCCAAGGTAAAACAGATTTGATTTCTGGTGGTTTACATGAAGGCCAGATATGTTTGCAAAAATGTGAAGAATAGCATTTAGGGTGGCCATATCAGAGGGGGTGGCTTTGGAGAAAATTATAGTATCATCCGCAAACTGAATCAACCTGATGGAATTTAACTGCCCTTTCAAATTTAGGTCAGCTAGATCCCCCGAAGCTGCACTACGATACAATAATTTACTGAGAACATCAGCCACCAAAAGGAAAAGTAGAGGTGATAAAGGGTCACCTTGTTTGAGCCCTCTAAAACATCGGAAGAATTTAGTTGGGGAACCATGTTTGTGGGAAAATTTGCAGTAAAAGAAATAAAAGAAAATTGATTTGTATTCCTTTAATCTCAGTTACAATTGGATTTCCGATTACAAAAGAGAAGAGAATGAATTTGATTCTCCCCTTTGTTTAATTCTGGGTTCTTCACGGTAGCGATGAGATGTCTCCCTCGAATGCTCGCGTCGAGTTTGCTTCTCGTTGACGATCCGACGTCTTGTTTCACTGGAACGTGGACTTCTCCTCACGATTTGACGTTATGGAGAACTCTGAACGAGTTTGAAACTCTATGAAAGAGTTGATTTAACCGAAATCGGTTATAAGCCAAGGATGAAGAAGATCTTGTTGCCGATCTCAAAAGCTCCAGAAATACTCTAGGGATCCTGTTGACGAGCCAAGAAGTTCTAACCGACCGAACCCGAAAGATCCAGCCCTGATCTGATTATCCAAAATCTGATCTTTAACTCTGTTGAGTTTGTCGTTATTTATAGGGGATTAAGGGGTGTAACCACCTCCTTAATTCGCTCCTAAGTGGGGCTAATGGGATGTAACCGCCCCTTAAATCACTCCTGAGTGGAGTTGTGATCCCCTCAGATCGTGGGAAACGGTTTTGAAACTGTTCAACTCGTGTTTGAACGAGTCAAATGCAGATCCTGCATTCTGGCATGAATTCCGTGTCCAAACGCAGTGTCTGAAAGCTTGAACGCAGTGATTGGAAGCTGCGTTTGCAGCGGATGAAAGCTGCGTTTGGCAGCAGTATAGAACTGCGTTGGGCAGCGCTTGGAGCTGCGTTGAGCAGCGCTGAATCTCTTGAGGGGAAAGATTTCTAGACTCCTCACAGATGTTAAGGTCATGAATATGAGTTGACAGTTTGGAGATGGACTGGGATATAGAACCAAAGCAGGATTTTTTCCACCATTTAATTCTTTTTTTGATGAGTTTGAGTTTGAGAAGAAGAGGGACTTGGTTGTCATTTTTCGGAGTGAAAGATTTCCAATTGGATTCTATGAAGTTAGGGAAGGATG